GTATATAACTCATAACATACCGAAAAAAGCGTGATATATAAGATATATTTCAAGTATATTTTCCACTCACTTATTTCGCAAGAAGCAGCCATTTTTAATTGTAATGTAATGTGTGGGAGGTTAGACACACCCAATAATTGCGCATGCGCAGTTGCAGTGGAATTAAATTCAAAAGAAGAATCAAGATGGCTGACAAGGAAAATCAACTAGATGAAGAAGAACCCCAAAAAAGGAGGCTTTCTCTATCCTTGAAGGGCAGGAGGGGGCAGAAGCGTTTTGCTGAAGTGTCTGCAGATAATTTGGTGGCATCTAAGCTGAAGCCGACAAGCAAGAACACAGAAAGATCACAGACATGGGCGCTTAATGTTTTTCGTTCATGGATTGCTGCATCGGAAACTGGTTCAGGAGTTGCTGATAGCATTCTTTGGGAAGGTGATCCTAAAGATGTGTGTACTTTATTGTGTCAGTTCATTAAGGAAGCTAGGCAGCAATCTGGTGAGCCATATTGCCCAAAGACACTTCTTCAGATATTGTCAAACCTTCAGGGTTTCGCTCTCAGTAAGAATCCTCATGCACCTCACTTTATGAACCACAAAGATCCAGTATTTATGTCGTTACACAATGTGCTGAATAATGAGTCAAGACGACTTCTAAATGAAGGAATTGGTGCAGTTAAGAAGCAGGCTCGTGTCATTACTGTGGAGGAGGAAGAGAAACTCTGGGATACTGGTGTCATGGGTACACACTCTCCTCTTGCATGACAGAACGCCATTTTCTTTTATTGCGGCCTATACTTTTGCCTACGTGGTGGGATAGAGCATCGTGAGCTTTCTTTGACACAGTTTAAAGTAGATGAAGTAGACGATCCATGCAATCAAGGTCAAAAAGTGAAGCGTTTAATTTATAAGGAGCATGGGTCCAAAAATCATCAAGGTTTAGTGCATCAGGTACATCTCGATAACAAAATTGTCTCACATTATGCCAGTCCTTCTCTTGGTGAGAAATGTTTCGTTTCATTGTTTGAGCTATATATAGGAAAGCTTCCTGAAGAAGCTAAAGAGAGTGGCACGTTCTATTGTAAGCCGAAATTGAAGTTTAATTTAGATGACACTACATGGTATTACAAGACGCCTGTTGGGCACAATATTCTGTCTTCAAAATTGAAGAGTATGTTTGTTAAGGCAAAATTGAATGTAGATGGTGTCCACAATCACAGTCTTAGGGCCACATCAGTGAGCAGAATGTACGAAAGGGGAGTAGCTGAAAAATCTATTATGGATCGAAGCGGTCACTTAAGTTTGGGAGGCATTCGTACATATGAGAGGATATCTGAAAAAACGAAGATGGAAGTTTCAAATTTGCTCTCAAATACTGATTTAAAGGTCAAAGAGGAAACCCCACCAGGGCCACTACAACCACTTGATGACAATAGAGATGCAGGAGCTGATGAAAACAAGAAGCAATTGAAAGCAAATGAGAAGTTCTTTCACATGCAAGGTTGTACTGTCAATATAACATTCAACAACTGAAAACTTTTTGAACAATTTGATTTTCATTTAGCCTCATTCATTATTATCACTTGTCATTTAGCCTCATTCATTATTATCACTTTTATTAGCCTCAAAAATGCTGTGAATATTATTAAAAACCAAACAAGGGCAAGAGCAAGCTAGGGCAAGAGAGGAGTGGTCACAAATGTAATGCACCCCTGTTTAGAGTTCAGAGGTCATAACTCCTCTCTGGCAGGTGTATATTTGACTATATATATATATATATATATATATATATATATATATATATATATACCTGTCAAGTCAGTGACCAATCGGATTGGAGAACTCAACATATATACCTCTTAGGAGGTATGTTATGTAATATATATACTTCTTCCCTCCATTGCCAATAAATGAGTGGCAAATATACTTATGAGATATGTGTATTATATATCATACT